CTATCTTTCCTTCAAGGAGCTCTGCTTCATTTTAATGGAGAATGGTATCAAGAAACGAAGATCCAGGTGTTTTATGTGCTTATTGCTACTATGACATTGGTTTTCAGGCCCTTCCAGGGAACAGAGCTAAGAAATGTATATATATTTGACATCATAATCTTATTTAACACTACAGAATTCTTTCTTGCCTTCTTTCCTTATATGTTTATATTTCCTTTCTCACACAGTGAGAACTCTGGTTCTCAAGAACCTCAGTATATTTTACTCATTTGGCCTATTGGTAATTTCAGAATTACCAATCTAATACTAACTACTACTAACAACAAATATACTAATTGGAGTTCAGTATTTTTTTTCTGCAGTTTTTGTGTCCTTAGATCATATTTCGCTAAGGGGTATAGTCAGAGCACTATATTCAAATATTTCTTGAATTAATTCCTGTTTGTGGTTTCTTAAATAAAGAAATGTTTCTTGAATTCTTTTCTGTATATTGTTCAAATATAGAGTTACTTCACATTCAATTTTATTGCTTGCTTTTTTCTTTTTATTTATATTTTGAATAAATAAAATACATGGTTCGAAAGTGAAAGTCATATACATTCAGATAATTCTTACTCTCTTGCACCACATTCCCACTCTGCCTTTATAGCTAACCATTGTTACTAATTGCTGGGTTACCTTTTCTGTGTTTCTTTTTCTAAATCTAGGCAAATATTTGCATGTACTTTAATTTCTCCTTTCTTATGCAAAAAGTAGCATGATATATCTATAGAATTGTGTATATAATTATTTTACCCTTCACTTCTTATAGTTGGCAACATAGCCTGGATATTTTTCCACTTTGGTTGTAGAGATGTTTTTCCTTCTCCTTCTCCTCTCCTCCTTTTCTTCTTCACCCCTCTTCTGCCTTTCCACTTCTCCCCCCTTGCATAATACTATTATAAAGGTGTACCATAGTTTTTTCAACCAGTCTCTTGTGGATAGACATTTAGGTTGTTTCTAAGGTTTTGATATTTTACGGAATTTGTATAGAATGATATGGTGAGTAACCTTATGAGTATGGAGTTTCATATTTGTGGAGGTACATCTTCAGAGTAAATTTCTTTTTTTTTTTTTTTTTACCTTTTTGTCTTTTTCCGTGTCCGGCAACGGATCGCAACCCTCAGTGTCGCCCCCGTACCGGACCGGGACCGGCAACGGGATCGCAACCCTCGGTGTTGCTCCCGCGCCTCGCTCAGCCAGTGAGCGGGAACTGGTCTGTATGTGGGATCCAAACCCTCGGCGGGAGCACCGCCGTGCTTCCCAAGCGGCGCACTACAGCAGTGCGCCACCGGGCCGGCTCAATTTCTAGAAGTGGGCTTGTAGGTTTGAGGGTAAATGCATATGCAGTTTTGTTAGGAGGTACCGGGACAAAACTGTTTTAGGCAGAGGGAACAGAAGTGCAAAGGTTCGCAGGCAGGGACATGTAGCCGATGTGCTGGAAGAATAGCAAGGAGGCCACATTAGGAAACAGGTGTAGAGATGAAAAGTGAACTGCCTAAGATCTATACGCTAGTGGCAGAGTTGAATTAGACCCCTGGCCTCCCTATTCCCATTTAATTTGCAGCATACTTATTAGACGAACTAAGAATTCATGAAAAACAGGAATGTATCTCACCAAGACCATGTAGTCAAGGCTATCAGGAGGTGAGAGAAGGAAGAAGTTTATATGGACCACAGTCAGATAAGACTTTACAGATGAGGTGGGACATAGAGGATGATTAAGGATGGGGTAGCAGCTGAAGGGGAGCAGGGCCACATTCCTAGCTTTTGGAACTGTAGATGAGGGCTTCGAGGTGAAATGAATGGCTTGTTTAGAAGATGATGTTAGGGATGGAATGTTTATCTGGGGAGGAATGAGAGAAAAACTGAAAACAAGTAAATTGAGTCTTGTTAGAAAGGTTCTTGGATTCCAAGGTGAAATTTGAAGTTTAAATCAATTGTGGAGAGTCACTGTAGATTTTTGAAGTAGAAGTGAGATTGATGTATTCTTTCACGTCTTCTGTAGTCTGCAGTAGTTGCACCCATCTGTTTTTATCTTGAAAAATTCATTCATTTAACATATTAGATGTTTATGTCCCTGGCTCTAGTAGGCATATAGCTAATTTGTTAAACTGTTTTTCCTCTCCTTAATGTCTTGGACATAACTTCACATCTGTATTAGAAAGTATTCCACCATGCATAGAGTTTAATTGGTTATAAGATGAAAAAAACAAAAACCAGGGTAGGACATGATCCTTGCTCCTGAAGGGTTTAAGGAGTGTGACAAAGCAGTACTCACCTGCGTTTTCACTTTGGAGCAGTAGGAGGTAATTTGTTCTTTTATCCCTTGTATTTCTTATACTGGAAGGTAGGGCTAGAGTGGTTAAAGTACTGTTCAGTGCTTTACCACTAGCCACATGTGTTTGTAGAGCACTTGAGATGTGGCTAGTCCGAATTGAGATGTGCTATAAGTGTAGAATACACTCCAGATTTTTTTTTTTTGTGACTGGTAAGGGGATCGTAACCCTTGGCTTGGTGTCGCCTGCACCATGCTCAGCCAGTGAGTGCACCGGCCATCCCTATATAGGATCAGAACCCGCAGCCTTGGCACTCCCAGCACCGCTGCGCTCTCAGTGCCACACTCAGCCGAGTGAGCCACGGGGTCGGCCCTACACTCCAGATTTTTTTTTTTTGTGACTGGTAAGGGGATCGTAACCCTTGGCTTGGTGTCGCCTGCACCATGCTCAGCCAGTGAGTGCACCGGCCATCCCTATATAGGATCAGAACCCGCAGCCTTGGCACTCCCAGCACCGCTGCGCTCTCAGTGCCACACTCAGCCGAGTGAGCCACGGGGTCGGCCCTACGCTCCAGATTTTAAAGACTTAGTATGGCAAGAAGAATCTCAATAATAACTTTAAAATCTTGATTACAAACTGAAATAGTACTATTCTGAATATATTGGGTTAAGTGATATATAATATTAAAATCAATTTCACCTGTTTCTTTTTACTTTTTTATTTTATGTGACTAATAGAAAATTTTAAATTGCATATGTGACACAAATTATATTTCTGTTGGAGAGTGTCATCTAGAGACTTGATGAAATGTAGCTTTACATTAATAACATTATATCGAGAGGTAAATATCAGTTTGTCCCACTATTAGTGAAACTAAATTTAATAATTTCCAAAATTTTCCATGTTAAAGATACATTTTAATCACTTCCAGGACATTCTGTTGTAAATATAGTTTTCCTAAAGTCTCTTCCAGAGCTTTTATTGTAAAGGTACATTTTTTTTTTTTAACACTTTCAGAACTTTCTTTTGAGAAGATACATTTTGAGTACTTCTGGAACTTTCAGAGTTAAGATAAGATATATTTTCTGTTTTGCAATTAGAAATATGTGGAGTGATACTTTGATACGTTGGGAATATTCTGTTTCCATTCTGTTTTACCTAATGGTAGTAGCCTTTTAAGATTCTTTCCTGATGAGTTATTATGTTGAGGACTATGCAAAATGGTGGTTTTTCCAATGCTATCATTTCTTTTTCATAAATAGTTGGCATTCTTCTGTAAAGAATGTTCCCTTTTTTCCCCTTTTTCATCTATTTTATTTTTAAGTAAAAGAGTTAACTGTGTGGTATGTAGATTAGTTGGTTCATATAACAGATGTTTGATTTGAAATGGTGGGTACAAATGAAATTTTAAAATATGGAATCACAGCTATGTGTACAATGGTTGCTCACTCTTTAAAGGATTCTTACTATATATCTCTTTTTAGGCAAAGCTAGTAATCACATCTTAATTTCTGTTATTCTTATAAATCTGAATTTTCATGTATAGCACATTTATCTAACAAATTTTTCAGTGCTTACTATGTGCCAGACACTGTGTTAAGCACTTGGGATAGAGTGATAAGCAGAAGAAATATAGTTGTCCTTAATGTAGGATGCATCTTTACAGTTAAAAAGATAGTGAGAGTTGCCCAGAACCCTGTGAACGAAGGCAATTATAAATCTCTGTCTTAGGAATCTTGATTTGGAAGGTATTATGGGCTTTTACTAACAACCCTGTTGAAGAAATGCTTTGAAGTTCAGAACTGTAAACAATCATTCTCTATGGGTCTGATGAAAAGAATATATAGTATAGTTAGCAGTTTCTTCCTGTTGTCTTTCTAATGTAATGTTGAATTATGATTGCAGATCTCTCCCCTCAGTGTGCAATTTTGCCTGATTTTTTGTTCTGTAAGGACATTTCCAGTGTTTCTGGGGTTCACATCTCCGTGAGGCATGTCTTAGAGGCGTACTTTAGAACCTCCTGACTCTGAGGATTCAGAGCAACAGGGAGGCCATCACCAGCCAAGCTCTGCTTTGTTCACTAGATTCCATCTGGGCTAGGTAGAAAAGAAGCAGCACCACTTTTCTGGCATTATCAATGAAGTCTATGGAAGACCAGGGGATTTCTAGAAGTTCTGAAAAAGCTTTGAGGCTTGGGGCAACCTAGCATAGTTCAAACTTGAGGGGACCACCTTTCATGAGATAGATTCAAGTATGATACCTGGGCTGAAAGGCTCTTTGTCTCTGCTTTCAGGTTAGTAATGGGACTGATAAATTGTCTTGCTGCACTGGACCAGCAGTCTTCTGGATGAAGAGAAGCCCCTGTTGACCTCTCAGCCACGTGGCATGGCAAAAATCTGCAGCGCAGGAAAGGTCAAGTGACACTTAGCTAGATAAGTGCTTAGTAGAGGTATCTCTCAAAGCAAAGGGATTTTTCCACCAAAGATAAGTCTGTCTTAATTTTTTCTTACTTCCATTATATCTCCAGTATCTCCTTTAAGATTAGTAAGACGGACATGCCCACAGTTAAGTGTGTACCTATCTTTAAAGAAAAAAGATGTCTGTCAGTTGAACTGCTATGACCTCAGGTTCCAGAACATCAAGGCAACATTCTTTCAAAGAGATGTTTCACTTTGAATTGAACCTAATTTTAGACCAGTCAGCTTGATGCCAAAGGGAAAAGGATAGCCCAAGTGACAAGAAAACACTTCTTACTATGAATTGGTTTAGAAGTTACTTCTCTAAGTGTCCGGAGGATATTTCCTTACTTAACATACACTCACCTTTGTTGTTTTCACTCATATCATCTGAAGATGAACAACAGTTTATTTCCAACTTGAGGTAGGCAGTAGGATGAATTTTCCCCAGCATTTGCTCTTTAGCTAGAATGTCAAATCAATCTCTCTGTATTAGGGACCAGGGAAAAGAAAACGGCTTGGGAAGAAAGTGGTTGCTATTCTTTCCCGTGTGTACTTGAAAAGGGGGCAACTGATTAGTTCCTTCTGGCCTTGGTTGGCTGGTGAAAAGTGAAGGACTGGATTGGGTGAAAAGATTGTCTCTTTATTCTTGAAATGTTGAACCTTGACCAGGTAAAACTTTTTTTTTTTTTTTTTCTGGTGACTGCCAGTAATTTCCACTCTTTTGAAATCAAAACTCAAGGGTTTTGGCTTCAGTTAAGAGTTTAAAATAATCAAGGAGGCCTGAGTGGAAGGCAGAATGAATCCTTAGTACTGCAGTTTTGATTAAGGAAGAGAGAGACGTGAAGGCCTGCAGGCCCAACCACCAGGCATGTGGGGACATGCAGCGGGGAATGTGCTTAGCTGCTTGAAGAGGAAGAGGATAGAATAGAGTGAGGTCAAAATGGGGAAGGGCGTGTATCTCATCCTTCCAACACTGTTACTCAGTAAGAGCAGGTCAAACATTAATCGGAGTCAGCCTTTTGCCTCCCACCAGTTAAGGCCTCCCTCTGCTTCTGATGATTAGGGTCGTGAACCATCTTGGTTTGCCTGGGACCTGTCCTGGTTTTAGCACTGAAATTTCCCCATCCTGGGAAAATCCTTAGTCCTGGGAAAACTGGGATGGTTGGTCACCCTGACTGAATTTTAAGGCATTTGAGTAGCACATACAACAACTGAGAAACTGGCACAGATCTCCTACCTCCTTTCTTTCTCAGAAAAATATACAGAATGCTGTAGGTTGTGTACAGGATCCTGAAGTTACAATAATAACAATAGCTGCGATTGACTGCCTGCCTACTATGTGCCAAGTGCATGGTTTTGTTTAATACTCATGGCAACCGAGGAGGTAGGATATTTTTAATCCAATTTTGTAGAGGAGGAGACCAGAGCTGAGGGCTGTGACAAGTTGTGTTTCCTAAGGTCAAACAACTAGAATGTAGCTGAGCCACGTTTGAACTGTAGTGTGCCTGAATCTAAAATCTGTGCTGTTACCACAAGATGAAGAACTTGTTAAATTTGATGTAAATGGACAGCTTCTCTGATTTAGCAAAGCTCTGTGGCCATCAGTTTTACTCACTGTTTCCAAACTCATTCCTATTCTTCATGGTGGCATAAGATTCCCTGGGGTAGTTTACAGAAAGGCTGTCTAGGAAGCTACAATAATTACGTTAGTCTGATACCTGTGGTAGAAGGTATCAGCCGCCCCCAAATAATCTTTTGGTTCTTGATGGAACTACTAAGTGCCTGGAACATAGAAGGTGCTAGTGAAGGGTAGCTATGCTTATTTTAATTATGACACATGAGCAATAATATTGAACCGCAATATCATAATCAATGTAGGTCATTTAAAATATTTTAATATAAAAAGCACCAAAGATTCAGAGTATTAAAAAAGAAACTCAATAATATATTTCTCCTTGAGTTCAAAATTAGGCAAACACACAAATACACACACACGAAACTTTCTTTTTTTAATCAAAGAAAAGCTGTCCTCTTAGTTATTTGATTTGGAATAAATAGAAGACAGACTTCCACACCGTAGTAAAAGGTGTTACACACATAATGCTGAGATACAAGCAAAAAATTCTACTCTAGGGCTGCAAACAGTAAATGGTTCATTTCAGGGAAAAAATCTAATCTAGGTACTCGGCCCTAAGAAATTCCTCTATTAAAATCAGAGATGATTGAAGCTCTTAACATAATGATGGAAGCCTTGATTTGTGGCCATCACATAGAGGTAAATGCCTTAAATTGTGTGGAGGGATGTGGAAAGCTTTTAGGCTACCCTCTGCTTTTATTTCACCAGTACACACCTGAGAATTGTACCTTTACTAGAGAATGAAACACAGTTAAGATCACATAATTGATAGTGAGATTTGACGAGTACTCAGAACAGAAGAGACATGTGAATCCATTTGATCCCATTCAACCAATATTTATCATGCACCCACTACCCAGCATAGTGTGCTGGATGCTGGGCATACAGGAAGGAATGGCATGTGCCCCTGACCTCAAGGAGCTCACATGGAGGTAGAGGAAGTAAGAAGATATGTATAAAATACTGTCTTCAGGGCCAATTTGAAATCTTCATAGTTATCTTAGTCTGCTTGGACTGTCATAACAATAACATAGACTGTTGGCTTAAACAACAGAAATGTATTTTCTCACAGATCTGGAGGCTGGAAGTTTGAGATCAGGGTGCCAGCATGGTCATGGTGAGGGCTTTCTTCCTGGCTTGCAGTGCACTCACATGGCCTTTCCTCGGTATGTGCATGTGGAGAGAGAGATGTCTCTTCCTCTTTGCATAAGGCCGCCAATCCTGTTGAACCAGGATCCCACCCCGTGACCTCATTTAACCTTAATTACCTCCTAAGAGCCCTGTCTCCAAATACAGTCACATTGGGAGCTAGGGCTTCAATGCATGAATTTCGGGATTTGGTCCACAGCAATAGGCCTTAACTCACATCATAACAAACATTAAAATGTACCCTGACCGTATGTTTTATCCATATATATATTGCTACTGTAGAACGGAAATAACCACAGGCCATACATAAGTGCATAACCTATGTTCCAATAAAAACATATTCACAAAAAAGGTGTCCCCAGCCCACAGGCCATAGTTCACCAATCCTTGTTCTAGTGGAAGGTAACTTTGTTCGCTTACTAAGAAAAGACTCTCTTAAAATTAAATGATGGGGCCGGCCCGGTGGCGCACTTGGTAGAGTGCGGCACTTGGGAGCGTCGCTGCGCTCCCGACGAGAGTTCGGATCCCATATAGAGACCGGTCCGCTCACTGGTTGAGCACAGTGCGGGCGCAACACCGAGGGTTGCGATCCCATTGCCGGTCGCGGTACGGGCGTGACACTGAGGGTTGCGATCCTGTTACTGGTCACGAAAAAAGACAAAAAGGAAAAAAAAAAAAAATTAAATGATGACTTGCAGAAAGACTGATCCATCATTGTTTCTCCACATAATTGTTCTTTCATTCCAGTTACTTCTCAATTTAGGTTCCACACATGTGAATATACTCTCACCCCATATCTATTCACGTCTTCTTTAAATCTGGTTATCTGGCTTAGAGGCTGGTCAGTTAGCTCAACTGGTTAGAGAGTGGCCTTGTAACACCAAGGTCAAGGGTTTGGAACCCTGTACCTGCCAGATGCCGTCCCCCCCCAACCCCCCCCCCAAAAAAAAAAAATTATGACTGGCTGCTGCTTCTCAGCAACCATTCATACCTGGAAATTTTTGTAGAACAAGAGAACCTATAAATTGTTTTCAAATGTGATAAAATGTTTGTGAATTCTAAATTTGACAATAGAATTGACACAGTGCTGGATTTTTGTGTTTAACTGAGCACTAATTATATCTTGCAGTTTTTATATTTCGGAGCCAGTACTTTTTTCCAGGTCTCCCATGCTTATATAGCCTCTTGAAAAGCTCTTTAGACCCTAGGTATTGTCTATATTACCTCATGCATAAAAGGATTTGTAATATTTTATAACTCTACATCACATTTCTAGACACATCTCTCCCAATGATATCCTCTCTTCCAAGCTCTGGTGCAGCATTTCAGACTCTTTGTTAGGTATCCTCTCAATGTCTCATTGGCACTTTAGACTGGGTATGTTCCAGCATCCTCTCCCTTTCCAACCTACCTTCTATTCTGTTTTCCTTGCCATCTCTGTTTCATTGACATCACCACCTAACTAGTCGGAGACTTGGAAGCTTTAGTGGTTACCATCAGTTGTTCTCCAAATCCACTGGTATCATTTTTCATAATGGTATCAGGATGACTGCTTAAGAATTACCTGGGAACCTTGTTATGGTACTGATTTCTGTACCTCAGTTTTGGAGACTTGTGAAGTTGGTCTGGGGTTAGGCGTGAGAATTTGTTTTTTAATAAGCTAATATGCTGTCATGTTTAGGAAGGTGTGGACTTGGGCTGTATTGGTGGGATGAAAAAGAGATGTGGATCTTAACAAGAACAATATAACTATATTATGATATGACAAAATCCCATTGGTTTTATTGCCCCAAATTGGAAATTCTCAAAGGGACCCTCAAATGTTTCCAAGATGCTCTCAAAGTGTTGCCTTAAGGGTGGTCAGGAATGTTCCACTCTGTCCTTCAGGCCATGTGTCCCAGGTGCTAAACTTTGGTTACTATCACTCCAATAACAACTGTTACAGGAAGAAATACTACTGTCTCTTGTTTATTTTGTCTCAAATAAGAGGCAGCCTCTTTCTTTCATTCTTCATGGAACATCAGAGACCACGTGTAAACTCTTAATGAGGCTTGCCAAAAGCGAAGCATAAAACAGGATAATTACCAACTGTGCAGACTCAGACTCGTTCTAGGCCCTCTCTACCTCACATTTGACCCACTCCTTCCATGAGGCCGGTGCAGCTTACCCTTCACAGGGGAAATCACTCCAGATATCCCCATGGTTGAAGTTCAGGCAAAACTGACTTTCAGCCTAAGAAAGAGAAGGAAGTTTTTCTTTACCTCACTTTTGAAGCCCAGCCCTCGAGCCTCATTTCCTAATTCAGAATGATTGACGATGGGAATATCCATTCATTTCCGGGAAATCAACCCAAGGTTATACTTTATGGTTCCACCAGGACAATCATTTAGTAGCTTGATCTGAAGATATATTCTGAAGTCTGGGTTACTCACTTAAATTATTCTGCCTGTTCGTTAATCATACTCTTAAAACAAGCAGTCACAAAAAGAAACGCCCTTCATTGATCAAAATTTTTCCAGACACTGGTTCAATAGCCTAGTCCAGGTTTCAGTGTGCCTACTCAGCTCAATTCCTTGTCAGTCTCTCCTCAACAAAGGTTCACAACCCTTGGGGTACAGCTCCCTCCAGATCACCTTGTTACACCTTGTTATAAACTAATTATATGTTCTTTAGTCGCCACAATAACCCCATGAGGTAGTCTTTTCATAAAAACCAATGGGAGGGAAGCAGAGAGGTTAAGCCACTTAAAGATCAAGCCTCCAGGAAGTGGCATGCTGCAATTTGAACTGAGGCCTCTTGGTTCCAATTTTTTGAATTTAACTATTATGAAACACTGAGAAACATTGAGGAATTGACTAGACATTGAGTTTGAGTTTGTAATAACAGGATTTGGAATAATAATGCCATTAATAAGACAGGGCAAAAAGTCAGAGGAGATGGTATGATGAAGGGAGAGGTGGAGAAGGTGAAGTCAGCTTGGGCAATGAATTACAAACCTCTTGGCACCATTGGGTCCCTATCTCCTCTTTATCACTCCGTCTTGGCCTGATGGTTATCGTTCTGAAACATCTTCTTTGTTTCCAAGTTAATTTTCATCTTTGACTCTCCAGAAGCCATGTACCAGCCTGCACGGTGGTGAAGCAGCCTGTCCGGGGAGCCAGTGGCAGCACCACGATCACAGCGATTGTCCAGACTGGCAGGGATTGGAGCACCGGCCTCTTCAATGTCTGCAGAGATAGGAGAATTTGTATGTTTTCCCTCTTCATTTCTGTTCCTCCTTACCATTTTCTTTCCCAAGACGTCAGTAAGTGAAGAAGCTACATTAGGCATAAGGACAGAAATCAAATGGTTTCAGAATAAGCGTACTAATCTTCTAGTGACTCAAATGCACTCCTTGGCTGAAAAATTCTTGTTTTTAGTGATATGGATGCTTTCATTGAGTAAGTGGTGCCTTCAAAGATTATTTAAATGACAAAATCCACTGTTGGCAAAGACACACAAAATAGACTCCCTCATCCACTAATGGTGGGAGTGTAAATTGGTACAATTCCTGGTGGATGGTTTAGCAATGCATGTAGAAAGAACTTCAGGTGTTATGTAGCTTTTGCCACAGTAATTACATATTTAGAAGTTTAGTCTAAGGAAATAAATCATGTGCAAAGATTTAGCAGAAACAATAAATTTTGCAGCACTGGTCATTACAGCAAAAACCTGGAACAACCTAAATGTTCAACAGGGGGCATCCATACAATAAATTATTATTCAGCCATGAAAAGTCATATTGTAGAATAACATTTAATGAGATGAAAAGATGTTTTGGATACATTTTTAGGTTAAAGAAGCTGATTGCAAAACTATGCACATTAGACACCATTTTTTTGAGGGAAAACATTAAGAAAAGTGTCTAGAAGGACACAAATACAAATGTTTACAGCACATATCTCCAGATGGTAGGCTAATGAATAATTTTTATTTTCTTTTTGCTTATTTCTTTCCAATATTTCTATGAAGAATATGTACTACTCTTATAACAACAAGAACAATCACAAAAAGAAACTCCTTTTGTTGATTGAAATCTTTTCAGACATTGGTTCAGCTCTAAAGAGGTACAAACAACACTGTACTCTACCTATGTGATTTCCCCCTGGGTTTGAAATTCAAAGCATATCAATTCTATTTTTACCTTAGGACATTCTGACGCATCTCTGGTAACACTTGTCAGGACCCCTTCCAGGACCTGATGCTCTTGCCCTAGGGAACAATTGGGTCACAGAATCTCTCCTGGAGGAGGAGGAAGGGAATCATTTGATGGGTGAGGGTCAGTCTCTTAAGTTCAAAATCCAACAGACCCTGGGTCTAATATTTTTGAAAAATATGGCTCTCTTCATCCTCTGAAGCCTTCTGGGAAGATCTGAATTTGTCCTAAAGCCTCAGGATGGATCAACCAGAGAGCTCTGAGCAAGTTCTCATTCAGTCAGGAGACTTGCCTGTGGTCCAGAGCTCAGCTGGTCTCTTCCTGACACTGCTACCCATATGAATTTATGACTAGACAATTACAGCAGCTGTTCTCTGGTTCCCTCAGGATTCTTCATGGTTCTCTGCTATTTTCATGACTTTGGTTGTCACCTAGTACCAAGGTTCAGAGAAGGTAGATTAACCATGCAGAGATGTGTAGAATTAGCCCCAAATTGATAAGTGGACTATTTTTCCTTCATAGCTTACAGTTGGGAGTTGGAAAAATATCAATGCACTTCCAATGGGGGCAAGCCTGGAATGTAACGTAGTGGTTAAGAGAGCAGATTTGTATCAGACATAGACCTCACCTTGAATCTTTTTTTTCTCTCTCACCTTGAGTCTTAACTCTGCCTCTTACTGGCATGTAACTTTGAGCAAGTTCTCTGGGTTTTCATTTTTCCACCTCTAAAATGAAGACAATAAACGTTCCCACCTCAAGCATTGTTAAGATTAAAGCAGATAATCTATAGAACCCACTCTTAACATTGGTTTGGAGCATAACTAGACCAGTTAGGGATTTGGGGTTGCAAGCTGTGCTAGGTTGAATAATGTCCTTTTAAAATTCATGTCAACTTTAAATCTCAAAATGTGACCCTATTTGGCAAGAGGGTCTTTGAATTTTAGTCAAATTAAAGTCATACTGGATTAAGGTGGTCCTTAATACAATGACTTGTGTCTTTATAAGAAAAGGAAAATTTGGACACAGATATACAAGGAAGAAGGCCATGTGAACACAGAGTCAGAGATTGGAGTAATACGTCTACAAACCAAGGAACACCAAGGATTGCCAGCAACCACCAGAAGTTAGGAAAGAGATAGGGAGAAGGTTCTCCCTCAGACCCTACAGAAGGAACCAACTCTGCCAGCATCTTGATTTCAGACTTCTAGCCTCCAGAATTCTCCAGTGAGAGAATAATTTCTGTTGTTTTAAGCTGCCCAGTTTGTGGTATTTTGTTATGGAAGCCTTAGGAAACTAATACAAAAGCAAACATTGGATTTCATTTGAAGTCTGTGGGGTAGCTCAGAATCAATTAATCAGCTAAAAGCCAAGCCCGGAAGGGACAAAATGCATTATTATCAGGAGCTTGTTGATAGTCTGGTCACCTCCATGTGTTTTTGTCTTTGTGGCATCCTGTCTGAGAATTGATGTTTCAGCAGAAGCAGCTCAGTTTGCCTAGCTTGGGTTATGTGCCTATTGCTTGGCCAGGCCAGGGCACTCTGAATGACAGTCCTACCAATATTGCTCACAATCATGAAGGTATAATGCCCTAAATCTACTACTGGGGTGCTGTTACCAGGAAAATCCCAACAAATATCATTACAATGCACTCAATGAATCTTAGCTATTAATATTATTGTTACTTTTATTATCTTTCAGCATATTAAGAGCAAAGAGTGAATTAGGAGGCTCAGATTGGACACTGCAAAGTGATTTCTACCTAATCGCAAAAGCACCTAAAAAGATGGCCACAGAAATGCTCATTCCTCAGCCATTCCCTTTGCCTTCAACATTGCTTCACTGCTCAGCTCTGCTCTCAACCTACATCAATGCTCAGACACTGACCTCACTGGGTTTCCCAAGGATTCCCTGGTTGTCCATTTGAGGTTCTCTTCTAGTGTTAAGAGGAGAAGGAAGGATGTGTGAAGAAATACAATAATCTTTACAACTGAGCATGAATTGCGAAGGAGAGGCCATGGGTATAGAGTGCAAAGTGATCTTAAATGTTGTTTCCTAATTGTTACCTAGATGGGCTTCCATTATGCATCTGCTCATAGTGACTGTAAGGTAATTGTCTTAGAAGAAAATTTAAAGATGATATAACTTTGTGTGCTCATTTTCTGCAGGATGCAGTTGGAGTATGAATTCTAAGGATGCAGCTGGAGTATGAGTTCTATGAATCTTCAATTTCTTTCCCTCCTTGTTTGTTTATTTTATTGAAACATTTCTGTGGGGTTACCGTGTTGAGTATCAATACCTGCATGCAATATGTGATGCTCAAATTAGGAAATTAGTGTATTTAACCTTACACTATGTAATATTTTGTTGTTGTTGTTCTTATTTCTACCATTTCTTTCTCTCTTTTTTTGATTTTTTAAAAATTTGATTTAATTTTATTTTACTTCTCAAAATACATTGTACTTGATTCTCATGCCCCTTTATCCATTTCTCCCACCCCCCCCCCACACACATCGTATCTGTGCACTTGGCTTAAATAGTTCAAAGAATTTTTGTGGTTATTCTGGCTTCTTCCCCCCACCCTTTATTTGTTTGTGTGCTTATTCATTTATTAATTTTTAGCTCCCACAAATAAGTGAGAAAATGTGGTATTTCTCTTTCTGTGCCTGACTTGTTTCACTTAATATAATTTTCTCTAAGTCCATCCATGTTGTTGCGAATGGTAGTATTTCATTCTTTTTTATAGTAGAGTTGTACTCGATTGTGTAGATGTACCACAGTTTCCTTATTCACTCATCAGATGATGGGCATTTGGGCTGGTTCCAACTTTTGGCTGTTGCAAATAGAGCTGCAATAAACATTGGAGTATAGGTATCCCTTTGGCATGATGATTTCCATTCCTGTGGGTAGAATTCCCAGCAGTAGAATAGCTGGGTCATATGGTAGATCTATCTGTAATTGTTTGAGGAACCTCCATATCATTTTCCATAAAAGCTGCACCATTTTGCAGCCCCACAACAGTGGATGAGAGTTCCTTTTTCTCTGCAACATCTCCAGCACTTATCATTCTCAGTCTTTTGGATGTTAGCTTTCCTAACTGGAGTAAGATGGTTCTCAGTGTGGTTTTGATTTACATTCCCCGGATGTTGAGTGATATTGAACACTTTTTCATGTGTCTGTTGGCCATTCATATATCTTCCCTTGAGAAATGTCTGTTCAGCTCCTTTGCCCATTTTTTTTTTTTTTT